GAATAGTCAAGACCTTGTTGATGATCCAAGTTCAGTAATACTCATCTCTAATGATCTAAGTGCTAGAGCCCACTGTAACTACATAGCCAAAAAGGCATTAAGAGTTGTTAACCTAATCCTACGTAGCTTTTTCTCTGGTAACATCACACTACTAACTAGAGCATACAAAACATTTGCTAGACCAATACTCGAATACAGCTCATCAGTCTGGAACCCACATTATACATCTGATATTAGCACAGTTGAGAAAGTCCAGAAATATTTAACAAGAAGAGTTTTCTACTCCTCTACTCGTTGTAGAATACCTTATGCCACCAAACTTGAAATTCTAGACCTAGAAAACCTTGAATTACGCTGTCTTCAGTCTGATCCAAGTATGGCACATAAAATCATACCTTGCAATGACTTACCTGTCAATGAATACTTCAGCGTCAACCATAACAATACAAGAGCACACAATAGATACAAACTCAAGGTTAACCACACCAAACTTGATTGCAGGAAATACAACTTCAGCAACAGAGTGGTCAATGTCTGGAATACTCTACCTGACTCTGTGGTTTCTTCCCCAAACCCCCAAAATTTTAACCTTAGACTGTCTACTATTGACCTGACCCCTTTCCTAAGAGGTTTGTAGGGGGCGTGCATAAGTGCACCAATGTGCCTAACGTCCCTGTCCTATTGTTTCTTTTATTTTTCGTATATGTACCCATTTCATGTATTCATAACTATGTATATACTTATACCTATTATCTTGTAAGTGATTGACAAATCAAAATAAATAAAAAAATAAATAGGAAGACTCCTGCTGGCTTTTTTGTGCTTTTTTGTGCAGTCCTGGGTAGCTGCAATGACCATCAATCATATTCCTGACACCATAAGGAAATTTTGCTTTAAATGACAGCTGTAATCATGCTTGTTTTGTTTCATAATGGATTCTGTTTTAGTTGTTGTAATGTCCTTGTTTTAGTATGAGTTTTTGTTCTCTCATTGGCTTTGTCAATGTTGATTGTTTTTGTTTTGTTTTGCTTGATTTCAGATGACTTTGTAGTCCAGAGCCTTTTGCTCTGTTCTGTTTTCCCCCAGTTCCATTTTCCATAGTTACATTCTTTGCAACATTATGACCTCAGACTATCTTTCTTTAAATGATCTCACTCTGCCATCTTCCATCCTTGTATAGCTAAAATTCAACACAGTGAATTTTAGCTATACGAGAAACAATACACAAATATTGATATTATAGTAAGAGTTATCTATGTACATATGTGATTCCAGGAATTAGAATAAATCCATCTGCGGCACAAATACTAATTGATATGGTATGCATCATTCACCACAAGGGCATCCTCAGCTTCCTGACTAGACTTCTAGCAAATCCAGGCAGCAAAAATTCAGATGAATACTGTATCCTGGCAAAGAACACATGGCTGCCATCTAGTGGTTTTCCAGGTTTCTGCAGCCCAAATCTGGCAGTCTTACTGTGTACATCCTGGAAAAGTTTTGACTATCTTGCAGATATAGCTATTGAAAATTTCAGAATAAGACATACAGTATTAGATGTTATGATGGTAATCTATCTATTCTATGAATTCATTATGTGGAGCCTGTTGTAGCCAGAACTGAAATAAATTAATATTAATTGACCTCAGTCTCATATATATATATCAGAGCAATCATTCTTGCACCACTGTTTCATTAGAGAAGGATATCAACAATCCAATTCTAGCCCAGTGCAAAATTTGTTATTATTCATTAAGATGGTAGTTATTTAAATTAAATTAAATTCTTTAAATTAAAAGAATACCCTCTCTTCTTGCAATTGTATGGTATATGAAACTTCTGTAAGAAAATTAAGCATTTGATTTGGCCCCAAAAAAGGAGCAAGGAGGCAATTTATATAAATTAATTTTTACTACAAGCCAAGATATATTAACAGTAGACAACATGGAGAATGTTTTGTTCTTCTTTCTTTCTTTCTTTTTCTTCCTTCCTTCCTTCCTTCCTTCCTTCCTTCCTTCCTTCCTTCCTT